GCTGTTACTGCTGCTGCTGCTGTTACTGCTGCTGCTGCTGCTGCTGTTACTGCTACTGCTGCTGCTGCTGCTGTTGTTACTGCTGCTGCTGTTACTGCTGCTGCTCATTTGTTTTGTCTTTTAGCATCACAGAATCCAACAAACAGTTTTCACTGTCAGGAAAAAAGAATTTCACAGAGAATAAAAAGTGTCAAAAAGACAGAAGTGAAGAGGGACATTTTTTGAGAGCTGATGTTACATTTTTATATTAGTTATATATTAGTTATTAGTTACGTCATATTAGTTCCGTCCTCCTCTGTAGAGAATTCTTTTTCTAGAGCGCTGCAGCTTCTACCATAGTGATAAGAATCAAGAGCTGGAATCGACGAGTCTGTGAACTAAAAGTCTGATCCTAATTCTTCTTCTCTTTGTCCCTAATTGTCGTCTTCCTTTTTAAACTAATTGAATTTCTCTCTGTAGGGACTTGGACTTTTCGTCCCTTCCAGGACCTGTCAGTGGTGTTGTCACATCAATGTAACAGCAATGAGCATTTTGATGAAGATGAAGAGTTAGCACTTAGCATCTCTGGCTAATGCCTGTGCTCCTTGAATTTCACATTTACAACAGAAATGCTGTCATTTCCAGATATCATTCAGTCATTTTAGACATTTTTGCAGTTTCATACTGAATATTTACAGGAGCTCTTGAACCCAATGTAAATTCAGTTGTCACTTCTTTCTTTTTCTTCATTGTGCAGAGTGCAGTCATCTACAGCAGGGGACTCTGTCTCAAATTAATTTGTATGAAAAAGGATTACTGCGTTTCTGTTGACTTAATGTGGTTACTATCAACACGATGCGTTCATGGAACTCAGACAAGAGCGCAAATCTGGTTACAATTCAACGGCGGGCCCTCATGAAGACTGAGCTCCATATCTCCAGAAACAGATTAGGAAGATGGCGTTCAGGTTCTGCCTGTAACAGAGAGACGGTTGTGGAGTGAATTACCAAACCCTAGAGAGCTGACATTAATGAAACTTTATTGAAATGACTCCGGAGGAGGAACACGGCTGCTGCTTAAGCATTCTGTCTCTCTGTGAGGAGGAAGGAGGGACGGAGGAGGAGAGACGGGGGAGGGATGTGCTTCCTCTGAAGGTTCACTTAGTGGAGTCTGCAGAAGCAGCTAATCACATTATTATATTTACTATGAAGACAGTGTTTCATGGTCAGTCACTACTGCAGTCGACAGCAGTTTTATTAGTAATGACTGCCTCACATCTGATAAGATAAATAAGGCTAAAATAAAACTAAAAAGCTAAAATAAACAATGCACCTTCATGTCACCACCTGCAGTTATGAATATTGTAAATATGTTGAGGAAAGAAGAAATATTTATGTCTAAAAACTCAGCTGCAGAATATGGAAACACACACAGCGTACTGTGTTTCCATTAGTCTTTATATCAACACTGACAGTGGTGCTATCGTTAGCAGCAGGTGTTCACACACACATACACACATACACACACACACGTCATAAACATTCACTACTCTAAGCTGTGTCACAAACACCTTTTCCTGCTCTTTCACCGACTTCAAACCTCAACGTTCTCCTCCAGAAAGTCAC